CACCTTGACCCAACTTCAACTTATATACAGTGGCCGCGGCTGGCTCTCTTCTTATGGAAAACCATTCCAAAACAAGTTGTAAAAGAAGAAGGAACGAGAACAAGAGGGACCGCCCAAAAGGCATGGATGCACGCAAATGCACTTTCCACCAAGGCCCATTGTTGTAGAGTTATTCACGTCTTTGCAGTGTTGAGAGAAAGGCAAATGGCAGAAAAACGATGTACGGCAGCACACAGTCAGTCGCCAAAGCACACAGTCGGCAGGCAAGACAGCCAACCACGAATTTCATGCAGAAAGGGACCTGCGGGGAGGGTTGCTTTTCGGGAAGAATTTGGGGCCTATGCCATATGCTGGCCATGCTCCAGAAAGCTCAGGGAAGGTGCTCCAATATCCGTGACACTTCTAGAAGTCCGCACGTTCGGTCGTGAAAGGTGTTGGAAAAACGTGCTCCATGTCCTTTGGCGAAAAACCAACGGATGTTGACACTCCTTTTCACCCACGCTGTCTTTGTCATGTATGACGGTCAGCACGGTGACGACAACAGCAACAGTGCGAATGCCTCCGAAAACGCGGGTTTCCACGCCCTGTCGAATCTGCGACGCGGCTGAACCAACCCGCGGCTGCCCAATCAAAAACCTGCGACTGTGACCAAGCTTTTGGATCTTCACTTGCACATGTTCACTACTTGCAACCAGTGCTTGCGGTAGAAAATCTAGGATGGGCAGAGCAAAACCGCCCATGAACGACGATATCATATCTAATGCACACATCTTGAGCCGGGATGGGTAGGCACAGCCCAGCATCAATCAAAGAACATTGAGGAAAAAACACACACACACACACACTTTCACCAAGAAGTGCACTTGTTGCTGTTGGTGATAGGCGAGCTCTTGCCAACGCAAATTGGGTGGATTCAACTCACTTCAAGAATGAGTCAGTGGGTTCAACCATTCCAAGTACGTACAGATTGAAAATGAAAGATCTCTGAAATCAGTCACTACGTACTGCTGGTAGTAACAAGGACCTCGCTACCAGTTTACTAGTAGCAAGGACGCTACCAGTAACAAGGGCATTGCTACTAGTAGCTTCTTAGCGATGCCCTTAGCTCCCCAGAAAGTATCATGGTCTTCTCCCAGCTCTTCGTGGGTCATCTCTGTAGTTCCCATCTGCGCAAGGGAGTCTCTGTGGTACTCATCGAATCGCTGGTGGAGTCCGTCTGATTGGAGTCCGTCCGTCTCATTGCCAGGTGAAAAGTGATGTGAAGGCTGAGGTTTCTTCTACTCTGACACCACTGGGCCACTGGGAAGGAGGTGAAGGAGCTCTTGCAAAATGACATCCTGCTTTCCCAAGTCACAAGTCACAACACTTCTTGTTCAACTCTCAGGGGTCTTCACGAGGCAGTCTGCAGGTCATTTGTGCTTCGAGCATCTTCCGCGGGCGGGACTGCACGTCCGTCAGTTGCAATGGCAGCACTCAGCACTGTTCAAACATGACTGAAGCGCGACTGAAGCGTACCGGTGATAAAGCACTGCACGTGCCATCGTGATCAGCCACAAGCTTGTGAAGAGCTGAGGAAAGCCTGAGAACATTGAATAAAAACACTCGGATCAGGGCACACTCTATTCATCCCTGGGGGGATGGAGTCCATTCAAACACACCTCCGATCACCTCCGTGTCCAAGCGAGCATGTGAGCATGCATCAGGCAGTTCTCCGCCTACATATTGAACACTATCGCCAGCCACAAATAAAGAATCTAATTACATAAACAGCTTGCAGCTAGTCTTTGTTACCAACCTTTGCACCAGACTGAAAGATCATCCCTTGGCCCGCTTGGAAGACGAGTTCTTCCACTTTGACATGACGCTTTTGCAGTAGACCACGTGCCACGTGATGCACTTTCCGAACGCGGATATTGTATAAAAAAATAATATTATATTATAACTTACCCACCAACTCTGGAACAGTCCTGGATTTGTTTTCGGGGAAGTGTCCTGAACCGTTCTTTCCTTTTCCTACCAGGTTCACCTGTTCTATCCTGTTCCTCCACCGCCCAAAATGTTCAGAGCATGCTCCCGGTCTTGAAGCTTGGCCTCTGGCTACCCAGCTGGATCTGGTCTATCTAACGGATTCGGCCCGGTCTAATGTATATAACACATGCTCCGACCCACCATCGGTCTGACCGCTTCGGTCCAGCGCGAAGACGACTTCAAAGCCCCAGCGCTTTCGCCTCCTCGATCCCACCCGCGGTTTTGGGCCTGAAACCTCTCGTGGAGCCGAACGGTTCCCCCCCCCCCCCGGCGTGAAAGTGAAACGCGAGTTCCGACGGGTGCGAGAACGTGGCGAACGTGGCGTGAAAAGCACCACTGAACTCGGTCCCCCACCCGGTTGAACCAAAAATGAAGCATGTTGTAGGCTCGGTCCCCTCATTGGTCCCATCGGAACTTCGAACAAACAGATTCACACACAAACTTGGAACTTCTTCGGCGGGTTCTACAACCATCAGCACAAAGCACCTTTCACAAGCTCTCCCCCTCTCTGAAGCAAATTCTCCGTCCCGCTGGTTTGCTTTGCTTAACAGAGATCACCTGCTGCATTCCAAACGTGCTGGCGGAAGGAGCTGATGGCTTGAACGTCAGATCCAAGTCGAGAGTTGCACGTTCGTCAGATCCAAGCGTCCGATGGTTGGTTCTCTGCACGGATGGTCAAATTAAAGGGAGATGAAGGCGTCTGGTGCTTGGAAATTGGTCAGCCATGCACATGAAACGGGTTGAGTATGTTAGTTGGCATATCGGTGGGGTCTTGCAACACCCCCAACTTTCAAGCGCGGCGAGTTTGCTGAAACAGTTTGAACCCAAAATGAAGCATCAAAATCACAGGCTGTATGTTTTGCCATCCTGGTATAGATCGCACAAGCCCCACAAAACTTGGCTTTTATGTTGGATTCTTTGTGCAAGTGTGTTGGCTTCGGAGGCTCCATGTTCTTCAGGAAAACCACCCCGATGGTCCAAACGAACAAAAGCTGGTGCATCTGGGTGTGTGTGTGTGTGTGATCGTTGTTCGTCCAAATAATGACCATTGTCTGGCTGGTTGATCAACGTCGAAACATCATGGATTTGCCAGGTCAAAGCCATGCTCCATGATGGCAATGCCAGAAGAGGCCTATATAGATGTGTGCTACTCTCACACTGGCAACCTTGAAACGTTTGGTCGAAGACAAATCAAACACACACATCTTGCTCAGGATCTCCTGCTTGCCCTTGGATTTCCACATTGAGCCTTTTATTTGCATGCACTGCAATGGTTAGTGGGTGAAAAAAAACAACTGTAAACTAAAAGGAGCTAAGCATTGAGGAGTGCACTTAAGGACTGCAAAAATCCATGAGACGATGTTGATGTGACACGTGAGCTGGAACGATTTCTTCCCAGACGACTTACTGTTGGAGTCACCTCATGATTCATCTAACTGCACAGCATTGCGAGCAATGCATCCCAACGTGCAGAGATGTGTAGTGACCAGGTCCAGGCAAGAACTTGACAATTGCGATCTCGACGATCACATGTCCAAAGCCATGTGTGCAAAACGAATTTCCGTCTTGAGCCAGGACTCTTGCCTGATCAAGGCATCGAAGATCCCAAAGGGAAGTTCAAGGGCGTATCTAGAGAGCCTCCAAAGCAACACCAGCTGAAGCAAAGTTTGCCACAAGTGCTAAACCTGTTATGATGTGTGGTGGACGGTGTGAGAAAAAAAACAGGCTATACTCTCACTAAACAGTAATGGCCACATGCGCGGCAGCATCGGTCTGCCGGTCGCCCACCAAGGGTCGATGAGCTTGGTGGTCCAAGGGATGGGGGTCAAAAGCCAGCGATCCGTGCACTCCCCAGACAGCAGCTCTCGCTTCCCAGACGGATCCGATTTCTGAAGCTCTTATCCAAGCCTCTGTTCGAAGCGTGAGACTGGGCGCACTCCCAACTGGACATGTCTCCAAATCTGGGCACCGACGACTGAATGGCCCCTTTCGACCTGCCTGTGCCGGCCGAGGTCTTTGGAGATGCTGCAACTCAGGCGGGTCAGGGTCAGTGAACGATACCTTCTAAGGATGTAATTCAATTCATGTATAAATGCATAGCCTCTTGCATGGGTGGCGTAACCTAGATGTATTTGGCTGCCTGACAAGGATGATCACAAGTCGGTTGGTTTGCTTCAAGCCCCTTACTCGCCTCATTACACAATGCCTTTGTGGCGCAATGTACGTGGTTTAAAAGCCCCCCAGGGCTTGTGACAACAGCGCGGTCACTCTGTTCAACGTGCGTCGCATGATGCGTTCGACTCTTTTGGTCAACGGTTCTGCGATGCGCCATGCGCTTGGCTGGCCGCCGTGGAAAAAGGATGGAAAAAACAGCTTTTCAGGACACCTGAGACGTTGAATTGTTTGCTTTTCCCTCTGTCCGAACACCAACACCCCACCTGTCTCTGTCGCACTGTCTCGGTCGTCTCGGAGGACCCCAGGACGCCGCCAGGACGGCCCGTAGTCCAAGAAAACGCCTGGAAGAGGAAGAAGTGTGTTTTGTTTAAGAACGATGTAAAACGCTCAGTCTTACTTCTCTCTCTATACCATTACTTGGAGCAGAGCGGAAGAGCAAAAGCTCCTTGGTCGTTCTTGGCAGCATGCTTGGGCTAACCTGAGTAATCAGTTGCATGTAGTAACCATGCCCTTGGGATTGTGCGCTAAGAGTCTTGAAGACGGTATATTATTATGTTATTGGGGTATGCCATGTTATCCCTAAACGGTACATATTTTTTTAATGAAGCATAAACTATAAACATCTAAACACTCCTACTCACTAACATGGAAGTGGAAAAAAATTGTTCGTAGAGGAAAGTAGTGGAAAGTAGTCTTCCAAGGGACCATTTTCCACTTCCATGTTAGTGAGTCAGAGTGTAAATACAAATTGTATACAGCAACCGCAGTAACTATATATATAAGGATTTTCATGTATTGTCCAAATGTGTTCCACTGCCAGCCTCCTCTATATAGTAATTTAAAAGCGCGTCCCCTCTAATGCACCAGCACCGGACACTAGCGAAGCTTCGCTGCCGGCCCAGCGAACTGGAGCACAGGTGGCGCCAAATTTGGAGAGTAGCTGCATCATTCTCCTTAGTCGCCACACCACACCAGCAACCCAACCCATGCGACTCGGGTTGAGATCCGCCAACAACCACCTCAATGTGTCACTGCACCCAATCCAATCGGTCGTGTCGCGGAAAAACACGTGCGTCAACATGTTGGACTTCCAGGTGCGCCGGCTAAAGCTCCAAGGGTCACGTTTCCTACCCACAGGGCTACTTTCATTGGACAGGAGCGTTGAAGCCCAAACCAGGAGACCTTTACACAGCATTCACCTCAGCCGCGCAAAGAACGTGGTCACCGGGAACCCGGTACGCGCAGAGAACGTTTTGTCACCCCTCGCTGATCGGACGGTGCCTTCAGACTGGGGTTCGCATCGCAGTCTGACTGAGCATGCTCTCCAACCCAAAGTGGTCGATTCGAAGCCGATTCGAAGTGTTCACCCAGAGTGGTGGTAAACCACGGGGCCGAGTCGTGAGCAGCTGATGCGATCGCCACGAAGACCAGTAGAGTAGAGTAGTCTTGTTGATTTGTTGCCTTGAGGCCTTGATATTGGACCGCCACCAACAGAAGAACTTCGGATTCTCACAGGGCACCAACCCCCCCCCCAAAAAAAAAAACTTCAATCGCAAACTCTGCCAAGGGACGTCGCTGAACTGGTGCAAGTCAAGAAATTCTTTGACCGCCTTCCAGTCCAGTTCCTGGGATGGGTGCAAGTCAAGACGAGTGGCTGAGATCCCACAGGTGTGCGAAGCAAAAAGAATCTGCCGCATGTGTGATGGCATTGACCAGAAAATGTCGTTTAGTAAGAAATCCTATCTATCAAAAGGTTTAAGGGTTTAAGGGTCTAAGATTCCTATCAAAAGGTTTAAGGGTCCAAGATTCCTTTCCTATCAACATTCCTCTGTGCATGAGTACTCCAATTCACCCACCGCAGCTAGAGAACAAATATAGTTACAATTATATACTACTCTTTCGGCACCATGCCACAGTTGCCACCATAAAGACGCCCCTTCCATTCCCATGCCCTTTTTACAACCCACCTGCCACCCCATCAATCCTCCCCCACAAAAAACAAACAAACGACCCCTGCTGCAAGGCACCTGGCGTGCTTTGCTTCTCTGCTCCTTGAGTGCCCGCCGTTGCTCCGGCTCCAGCGCCCACCGTTGCTGCGAGGCCCGGATCCTCGACAACGATTGAACGGTCGCCCGCATTCTTCGGCTGAGAACATTCGAAGGGCTCGAGGAGAAAGCCGTTGGTGAGGGCAAGTGGGAAGGTTTTGACGGGCAACATGTCCACTATTCACCTACGTTCACGCATCCACCCACTATGGCAAGAGGGAATCGCAAATCAAGAGAAGAAACAAATGGTTTGCTCAATGGGAATTTTTTCAACGGCTGGTGGTGTCCCACATGTTTTGTTTGCAGTCGCTTCGTGAGTTAAACCGTTTTAGTGAAAATAAACATGCATGTTTATGACGGGTTGAAACCGCCAAGGTCACCAAACAGTTCCAGTTTGGCAGGTTGTTCATTGTGAAAATGGAGAATTGCATCCAATCAAGTTTACGGGGTGTTTGTTTGTCATGCCGTAATACCAAACAAAGACGTGCAACAACCATTGCAAACCACTGATGTGTTTGTAGAAAATCACATCCGTTATATACATCCAAATTGTTGCCTGTGTGTCAATTTTGGGCACAAGGGACAATTAAATTACTGCACGATGGGTTGGAATTGCTTTGAGGGTCAGCTGAGACACACACACATACATATACACATATATATATATATACACATGTGTGTGTATAGATGTGGATGTGGTTGTACAAACAACATACATACACACACACACACATCAAAGTCCTGAGGCTGACCCAAGTCTTCTCCCCAAGATTTGTTGGCGCAAACCGACTTTGAACAACCAAACCTACATCTAAACACATTGACGAAGAGTGGGCTTAAGGGACATATCAAAACTTGCGAGTTCACTCTGTGTCTTCCCTTCCAAGTGGAAGACAAATGTAAAATCATAAAGCACCAAGTGTAAAATCATGCGCACCCACAGCGAACTGGAAAACAAGAGTAAAAATCACACAGCTAACTGAAGACAGTGGGAGACAAATGGGAGACACGTGGCACAGGTTGACACACGCTGAGAAATCAAAAGCCTGGTCTTGGATTTGGCCTTGGGTTCGGCTCCCCCTTCACCCCTGTGGCTTGGGGCGGCCGCATGTTGTGGCGCGTCTGTGCAACAAAAACAACCAGCCCCCAAAACGCAATCTTTGGTCTACTGAGCCGTTTGGGCCCCCTCTCTCTCTCTCTCCCTCCCTCCCTCCCTCCCCCTTCTAAACATTGACTCACATAGGCCCCCCACATGGGGTCCCCAAAAGCCCTTCCTTCATATCCAAAATAGAACTGAGGTCACTCCACATCAAGCAGCCCGGCCAAGCAGTTTCGCAATCCCAGACCTTGAAAAACCTCGGCTGCTGACACGCCAATCCCTGGCACAACAACATTCACCTCCGCCAAACGTCGCAACCTCACGACTCCCTGCGCCTGCCAGGACAGTTCAACTTCGACACCTCCAACACGCACAAAACGAAAAGTGACGACATGACATCTTCATGTCCGCAGCCACAAGAATTGCACCGTACCACACGTTTGGAGTGACTTCGACACTTTCTGAGAACATTCACATCCCCCACAATCGAAATTTTGCCTGACTTAAAAGGCTTCAAACGAAAACATTGCCTGGAGTCCTGGAGGCAACGGCCTGAAACTTAAATCCCATTGTCACAGCAAAGGCAACTAAGGCAACTGAGGATCTCACAAAACGCTGCACCGGCGCAGCAAAATCATCCTCGCCACTTCCACATGCTACGTTCTACGCTATTTCACACGGATCTGCTGCTTCATGCTTCCATCCAAAACCCTCTCCAAAAACTTCCCCGATGCACTGTAGAGGAATTAGCAACCCGGCGACGAACCGGCGACGACTCCCGCCGACGCACACGACACAAACAGAGGTCCAGCCCCCAACTATAAAGGGGAACACTTCACTACGCATTCGTTTAGAAAAAGATGCCCCTTCAATTTCCATGCCCTTTTTGCAACCCACCTGCCACGCTATCAATCCTCCCCCACAAAAACAAACAAACCACCCCTCTCCCAAATTTCAAGGAACGTCGGCCTCTCCAATTAAGCTTTTTCACCGGCTTGTCGAAAGAAGAACGGTCCCAATACCAGTCCAAGCACCGTAATTACACTGCTCCTTGAGTGCCCGCCGTTGCTCCGCCCGCCGTTGCTGCGAGGCCCGGATCCTCGACAACGATTGAACAGTCGCTCGCATTTTTTGGCTGAGAACATTCGAAGGGCTTGAGGAGAAAGCTGTTGGTGAGGGCAAGTGGGAAGGTTTTGACGGGCAACATGTCCACTATTCACCTACGTTCACGCATCCACCCACTATGGCAAGAGGGAATCGCAAATCAAGAAAAACAACCAAAACGATTGCTCGTTGGAGGTTCTTTACTTCCCTGGCTGGTGGTGTCCACATGTTTCATTTGCACCCGCTTATGCCGCTTCGTGAGTTGAGCACTGTTAAAGGATTGAAACCACAAAGGTCACCAAACACTTTCAGTTTGGCCGGTTGCTTATGCCATACAAGACAAAGACCTGTGACAACCATTAGCCAAGTCCAGTCCTAACTGGTTCCTTTCCAAAAGGTGAGTGGCTCTTTAACCATAATACTTAAACATGATGTAGAAGATAATAGGGTTTGACATTATGTAGAAGATTGATGAAGCTGGGAGATAAGGTTTGCAATGCCGCAGCGCCGCCTTTGCCATTTTTTCCTCACAAGCCCCTTTGTGTCAGCCTGCGGCATTAGGTCCGCAGCTCAGCTTGGGATCCTTTTTGACAGATCCACCCCTGTTGAAAGTAGGCAGGCTAAAAATTAAGCCTCAACCACATCAGATCAGATTCATACTTCTTCAACCATTTCTGTACCAGCCAGTGATCTCGAGGTCCGTGTTCAATCACCCACCTAGGATTGGACAACGGTATTCTAAGGCACAAAAAGGGTAGGCGCAAGTGGTGCATCAGTCATTGTTCATCGAAGTTACTTCTTCCGGGCATCATCAGCAGACTTCTTCTTGTCAGCATGCTTGGCTGTTTTGAAGCCCGTCGAGTAGACCTAGCTTGCTACAGGATAGCTTTGAGACGCCAGAAACCAGGGCCCCGTCAATGCCACAATTGGATGACAATGAGTTCAACACAATTGAACACAACAACACAATGGGTAGGTAGCCATTCAGTCTAGGGACAGAATGCATCTTCCGCCACACTGGATCATCTTTAAGCGACTTTACCTGCCCCCTCGCTTTTGGCTTGGTTTTGGGAGTCGGCTTTGCTGGAGCCTTTGCTTTTGGCTTGGGCTGCACTGGACCCCTTTTCTTTGATGCTTTGGTCTTTGCCAGAGCCTTGTCCGGCTTTGCCACACCCCTTGGCTTCCCCCGACCCTTTGGTGTCACCTTCACTTTCGCCTTGGCAATAGAAAGGGGGGAAACCATGCAGGCAGATGCACCCACAGCTTGCGTTGAACGCTTGGGAGCATTCTCCGCAGAGTTCTCAGGCAAGACTTGTTTCGGGATCTCAAGAACCAAAGCTGCGCTCTCTTCATTCCCATAACCATCCACATCCGGGGGGGCTTCCTCCACTCCCATCCCCTCATCCAAATCAGATCCTTCAGCAATGCCATCCCCAATGGAAGCATCCTGCAACACACACACACACACAAAACTTGAATCCAACCGTGAAAGTGCAGAAAACCACGCGCCCGCTGCGCACGCTAGATTCACTTGACAAAAATCACAGAAGTCACTGTGAACTTTCTTGCGATGCCCACAGACAAACATAACTGCAAATTTTGCTTACCCTAAGGCCAATCATGTCCTGATGGAAGAGAGCACGAGGCTCCAGGAGCGATTCGAAGTCGTCACATCGTTCCATTCGGCGGAGTTGAACCTGAGTACTGGTGGATGCTCTCTTGAAGACAGAGTTAGTAGAGCATCGTTGTTGCAGAATATTTGCATGTCTTTGCATAATTTTCTTGTTCAAAAAAGAACTCATTTCGTTAAGACACCATCTTCTCATAGGTTTCCAGCCCCTCCTGGTTGTTTGGAGGAGAAGGAGTTCTAAAGGGTGTGTCCTCTATTTCAACCTCGGGCGTTTGGGATTGCATCACTGTCTCAGCGGCGTCGATGCAGTCGGGCTCGTCCAAAGCATCCCTTGGTTGTAGCACAGGGACTCAAGATCAGCCCAATATTGGGAGTTGCATTCCTGGTGTTGGTTTCTGAAAACATGTTGGTGAAGAAGTTGTCAAGGCAAGCGACATTGAAACATGATCATGGTGACCACCCTCAAAGTCGAGACCACGGAACGTGTTGTCCAACATCCCTTGACCTGGTTCGACTGGACCTTCACCATGTTCGGTCTCATAGGAGGTAAAGGTGGCGTCGGGCAAAGTATCTAAATAAGATGGCATAAATTCTTCCACAGCATTCATTTTGAGATACGGATCAGCCGCGACTTGTTCATGATGTTGAGGATCCCTCAAAGAAGCAGCAACCATGAGGATCTTTAATTCTAAGCATAACGCATGACCAAATAAGTCAGCTTGCTTGGCAATCAAAAATATTTCACCAGGTAACGGCTGCTCCTCACTCCAACTCTTGTCCAAGATGAACTCCTTGTCCTCAATCATGTTGTAGAAGGGCAAAACCTCGCAGAGCCAAGCGGATAGAGGTATGGTAAAACAATCAGGAAACGAGGGTTGGTAGAAGCAAGCAATTTCATGGAGGGGTGCCTCATCTCGCTTCCTGCTTGCTGGTCTTTTTGTTCCTCCTTTCTTTGTTGCCGGTCTCTTCGATGGTTTAGAGCCCTTTTCACCAGGCACGTTCAAAATGCCTTTCAGGTCAAGCCCAAACGTGTCACCTTCATCTTCATCATCATCGTCGCCCCAACCGGGCAGTGCTTGGTTGTCTTGGTCCGGGTCTTCCTCTTCATCTTCATCCTCATCCTCATGCTTGCGCTGTCTCTTCTTGGAGCCCGGCTTCTCCTTGGTTGCCTTCTTTGTCGTCTTACTCGACTTGGCCTCTTTGCCATCCTCTGGTGCGGACTCTTCTGATGAAAATCTCGGAGGCAAGACGTGGGACTCACCCTGTCCTCGGATGGGCCACCGCTGCAAGTGTTCTTCTTCTTTGGGGGATGGGAGGTTAGACAGTTGACAGTTGGGACTCTCTAAAGTGTTGGGATTTGCCCAATCTTTTGGTTCTTACTATGTTTCTTTGGCTCAAACTCTTTGAAGGACCAGCGAACCTGTACCAATATGTTTAACAGTACTTTAAAAGCTTGGAGCTTGAATTGAAACAGCTGACCTAGACCCTGCAAACATAATTATGGAACAAACCCTTGGCCGCTGGCTGGATCCTGATGTTGAAGTGAAGACAAGTTGTTAACCATCAGCCTGTTGAAGCTTCATGAACTATGAGTCAGTGCAATGGGACAAACTCATGATGGTCGAGTTAAACTTCTATAGCTGGCATTGTGTAGGGTCATGGTAGAAAATCGGCTTTGAACCCGTTGGACCCCCTGGTCAAACCGCAAAAACAGGGAGGACCCTTTTTGCAGAACCTGTCAACTTTGGTCTCCCTAACATCTACCATGGCTGATCCATTGGGGCTGAAGCACCTGCAGGCGACTTCTTGGTCTTGGCATCTTCGCGAGGTGCAGGCAAAACTGGGGCAGCCATAGGGGGCGGTCGGCCAATCGCACTTGTCGAAGATGTACCACGTTCCCCCAAGATAGCGCCCAGATTAAAGTCCTTGGGGCGGAGATCCATGCTCTGGACTCAATGTAATCCAAATGATTGGTTGGAATCAGGGATGCATTTGCTCGAGTTGCAAGAAACCTGTGCCTGTGCTCATCTAATTTAATTTAATCCAAAGGCGCTGGTCGGCGAAAGCTTGGATTAGGGGTCAAGCACCGCACACTCTCATCATCACTGTCTTTAGAATGCTTCTTGTTGGAAGGCATGGCTTTGCACCTTTTACCTGTACCCTCTACCGCTTCTCACTGGCACCTAGGAACCTTCGAGAAGTAAAATGCACACGATGCCCATAGAGTTTATTTGGAAATAGTTTCATGTCTGGCCACGCAATGAAATGCTTGACAAGGGGCAGCACCAAAATGCATGTGTGGAGCAGTTTTCAACGGCAAGCAAGCGGGATTCTTCCGGCTTGGCACAGCTAGAGCACTACTGCATCTCGCAAGCCCCACCCCAGCTCTTCCCTCCATGACTCCAATAATTCAAACAGATTCTTTCAACATGTGTTCTTTTCTTTTGTTGGTGTGTGGAAGGTTCTGCAGAATCATTTGGGCTTAAGCAGTAACTAGCCGACTACGGAAGCATCGTGGGGCAGGAAGCAAAACAAACATCAGGTAGTGACTGGACTGGAACAAAGGTTTGAAGCTGCAAGTTGTTTGACGCTGGAAACTCTGCAAATTGTTTTAAATTGTATCAGACCCTGCCCCACCAAACCAAAACTAGCATCGTGAGACAATGATGCTGGCAAAAACATTGCTCCTAACTCCGAGCTCACATCATACGAACGATGGTTGCGTTTATGTCCATCACCCCCGACACGCAAGCGATGGGTCGGATCGGGACCAAGACCTTCAAGCCGTTGGACTTGGTATCAAGCCTGACCCAGAAGAATGATCACATTGGAGCCGTAACCTTAAAGCATCTTAAAGCTATGAAACAATGTTCTTTCAACAGTGAACAAGAATGCGTTGAACATCTGCCTGGCACGCCATCCGATGATGAGCTTTGAGCTTGCTTTGATTTTGGATGGCTGGAGATAAGCGCCAAAATTCTTGAAAGACGGTCCGTTTTTCTGCTTGGTGCCATCAGCGTTTTTCTTGCGTTTCTTGGTCTCCCCTTCTTCTAAAGAACGATGGTCTAGGACAAACACTAGCTGCTTGTCCGATTGCACATTGCCGTCCGCCAGCGTATGGTGGCTGACACCAATCTTGACCTGACAGGAGCTGATAATTCGAAGGAAAGTACACCCCATAAATATATCAATACATTAATATAATATATATATAGTCTCTCAAACAAGTTCCTATACTGCCTTGTATTCATCAGTCAGTGCAATTACTAATTTACACACCGGGTACCTCCCCTGCATCTTCAAGTTGAAGCACGATATCCCGAAGCTGTGTAGGGGAGTCGACGCACGCCAAACTCATCAGGTGG